TGCTTGTAAAATACAGCCATACTTTAGAATGCTTCGCTTAAGCAAATTTGATAAACGCGATCGTGCGTGTTGATGAATCTGAAGGGATCCCTCGCTCACCGGGTGCGTTGTCTCTCTGTGTGTGTGTGTGTGTGTGTGTGTGTGTGTGTGTGAGTGAGTGAGTGTGTGCGTATGTGTGTTTTCTAGCAACAAGAGCAAACGCCTGACACCGCTGACTGTCCAAAGTCTCTTTAAGGTATTCTATATGTATTCTATAGTCTTTGCGGTGTTTGTATCCCTCAAAGCTGTTTAGAATTAAATGTTCAGAGATGGTGACCAAAGTCCCTGCAATGCTGTGTTCACACCAGACGCGCGGATAATTCGCTGTATTCGCGCGTAAATAGCCGCGTAACATTTGAGTTTAATCGCTGTATTCGCGCGTCAAATTAACTTCAGAACGATCCCCCCTCCCCGATCTTCAGTTTCAGATCGCAAACTCCACCCGCACCTCCCCATCGCCCCCGCTCTTTAGTTTCAGATTAAACCACCCCCCCCAAAGTCCCTGCATTGCTGTGTTTACACCAGATGCGGAACACGTGGATAAATCGATGTATTCGCGCCTAAGTAGCCGCGTGAACATTTGAGTTTAATTGCTTCATTTGCGCGTCAAATTAACTTCAGAACGATCCCCCCTCCCCGATCTTCAGTTTCAGATCGCAAACTCCACTCCACCCCCACCCCCCATTGCCCCCGCTCTTCAGTTTCAGATCGAACCCCCCCCCACCCCTCAAAGTCCCTGCAATGCCGTGTTCACACCAGACGCGGAACGCGTGGATAAATCGATATATTTACGCGTAAATAGCCGCGTGAATCTCTGAGTTTAATCGCTTCATTCGCGCGTCAAATTAACTTCTGAACGATCCCCCCTCCCCGATCTTCAGTTTCAGATTGCAAACTCCACCCCCACCTCCCCATCGCCCCCGCTCTTCAGTTTCAGATCAAACACCCCCCCCACCACCACTTCCTCAAAGTCCCTGCAATGCTGTGTTCACACCAGACGCGGAACGCGCAGATAAATCGCTGTATTCACGCGTAAATAGCCGCGTAACATTTGAGTTTAATCGCTGTATTCGCGCGTCAAATTAACTTCAGAATGATCCCCCCTCCCCGATCTTCAGTTTCAGATCGCAAACTCCACCCGCACCTCCCTATCGTCCCCGCTCTTGAGTTTCAGATAAAACCCCCCCACCCCTAAAAGTCCCTGCAATGCTGCGTTCACACCAGATGCGGAACGCGCAGATAAATCGATGTATTTGCGCGTAAATAGCGGCGTGAACATTTGAGTTTAATCGATTCATTCGCGCGTCAAATTAACTTCAGAACGATCCCCCCTCCCCGATCTTCACTTTCAGATCAGATTTTTGAACTCGAGCGATTCGCGCGATAAGCACGTCAAACGCACAAAACGCTCAATTCACACCGCGCCTTTCATGCGTATTGCGCTGCAGGATGTCTATTCGCGCGACTTAACAAGTAAATCACTCGCTCTTGACACACCTTAGGCGTCTGGTGTTAACACAGCATAAGAAGTCTAAAGTCTCTGGTACGTGCCTTTGATGTACCCCTTGTCCACATTGTCCCCCGATAATGTCAGTAGACCAAACTGTCTTAGCAGCTGGCTGAATGTAAAGGAGGACTAAGCAAAATTGTTTCTACTTTATAATTAATGTTTTCAACTCGCAAAACAACTTTACAATGAGTACAATTGTTTCAATTCAATACTTTATTATTATTATAAGTTTCCATTTTTCATATCTGCCATGCCTGTATTTTAGATGTTTTTTGTAGTCCACTTATAATCCAACATGGAAATCATTTTTGTTTGTTGTTGGCATTGATTGTTTTGAAATTCAAATGGCGTTAACATGCCTGTGTTTTTATTTCTGCAATAAATATGGCTTTTTGTGATAATCATGATTAATACAAATAAAAAAAGTGTGATTAATTAGTTACATTTTTTAGTCTATTGACCCCCCTAAAGTACAATTACTTACTCAGTTACATTTTGTAATAATATTTTAAAAATTTTTATAAAACATCCTACTTTTCAAAGACTTCTTAACATTTGTGTTTGCACATAGACTAGTTCCTAAAGAGACAGGATCTTTGCTTTGAAATCTGCTGAATGCTGTAATCACAGTAAACACACACATTTACATGTTTTGCTTTGAAGGGAAAAGGAGAAGCTGCTGTTTCTGTTCTCTTCAGACTGGTAGTAAAAGTTACTATCATCAGCACACAAAAGTGAAATGAGAATTCTGCTCCACTGCATTGAGTCGGCTAATAATAGACTGGATCACATTTCTTCTTTTTCTCGAGAATTTGCGTAAAAAGGGAACTCTATTCCTGTTTTCACACATAAATCACGCATGCAGAACGAGCACAACTCTAAGAAAACACACAACTGGATGCCGGTGATGTTCTTCGGTGTATTTTTATGCACAACATGTGGATTATAAATTCTGATAATAGACGGTGATGTTTTTATATAGCATATTCATTTGCTTTGATTTGTTGTGAACCAATTTTAGATCAGATATTTGTAATTATTATTAAATGAATGTAAAGAGATCAAATAATCGAAGTAAAATTATTCACAAAATTGTGTAGTCCTAATAAAGTTTAGGTATTTTATATGTTTTTAGGCGTATATTATTAGTGACTCTTGATAACTGACAGCGATTATGCTTTATTACACGTTTGAACTTTGCATTTTTATTCTTAATTACTTTTATTCTTTAGTTTTATTTTTACTGTGTATACACTCACCGGCCACTTTATTAGGTACACCGCTCCAACTGCTCGTTAATGGAAAATTCTAATCAGCCAATCACATGGCAGCAACTCAATGCATTTAGGCATGTAGACATGGTCAAGATGATCTGCTGCAGTTCAAAGCGAGCATCAGAATGGGGAAGAAAGGGGATTTAAGTGACTTTGAAGGTGGCACTGTTGTTGGTGCCAGAAGGGCTGGTCTGAGTATTTCAGAAACCGCTGATCTACTGGGATTTTTACGCACTACCATATCTAGGGTTTACAAAGAATGATCTGAAAAGGAGGAAATATCCAATGAGCGGCAGTTCTGTGGGCGCAAATGCCTTGTTGATGCCAGAGGTCAGAGGAGAATGGCCAGACTGGTTCCAGTTGATAGAAAGGCAAGAGTTAATCAAATAAGCACTCGGTACAACTGAGGTCTGCAGAAGAGCATCTCTGAACACACAACACGTCCAACCTTGAGGCGAATGGGCTACAGCAGCAGAAGACCACACCGGGTGCCACTCCTGTCAGCTAAGAACAGGAAACTGAGGCTACAATTCACACAGGCTCACCAAAACTGGACAATAGAAGATTGGAGAAATGTTGCCTGCTCTGACTAGTCTCCATTTCTGCTGTAACATTCGGATGGTCGGGTCAGAATTTGGCATCAACATGAAAGCATGAATCCATCCTGCCTTGTATCAACCGTTCAGGCTGGTGGTGGTGGTGTAATGGTGTGGGGGATGTTTTCTTGGCACACTTTGGGCTCATTAGTACCAATTGAGCATTGAGTCAACACCACAGCCTGAGTATTATTGCTGACCATGTCCATCCCTTTATGACCACAGTGTACCTATCTTCAGCAGGATAACGCACCATGTCATAAAGCGTGAATGATCTCAGACTGGTTTCTTGAACATGACAATGAGTTCACTGTACTCAAATGGCCTCCACAGTCACCAGAGCTCAATCCTATAGAGAAGTGGTTCTCAAAGTGGGGGTCAGGACCCCCTGGGGATGGGGTTGCGGGACAATGACAAGGGGTCGCTTAGTGATTTCCAAAACTCAAATTAATTTTATTAAACTATTTGAATTACCATATTTTATTCAGAACCCACAGAAGATAGTTGTGTTAAAGAAACAACAACTTACAAATAAAACTCAGCCATCAGCCTTTAAATTTTATATTAAAATGTAATTAATAAACAACTATAAAAAATATATGGTTAATAGACTGTTGCATTTTTGTGTTGTCAATATGCTTATGTTTATACATGTCTATAGTGTCTGCAACGTTTACATATTTACAGTATAACCACCTTGAAAAATGGAGGTCGCGAGCTACTGACATTGTTATTTTGGGGGTCGTGGGCTGTAAAGTTTGGGAACCGCTGCAATAGAGCACCTTTGGGTGCTTCGTAGTGGAACGGAAGATTGGCATCATGGATGTGAAGCCGACAAATCTGCAGCAACTGTGTGATGCTATCATGTCAATACGGAGTAAAATCTATGAGGAATATTTCCAGTACCTTGTTGAATCTATGCCACGAAGGATTAAGGCAGTTCTGAAGGCAAAAGGGGATCAAATCCAGTACTTATAAGGCGTACCTAATAAAGTGGCCGGTAAGTGTATATATTTGAGTACATCTATATATAAAAAAAGAGCAATAGCATACCATCTGTAGGTGTGTTTAACCTATTGACCTGTGCTGTATATGTAAATAAATGTAATCATATTTGTGTTTTTCCTATATATAGATCTCAAATAGTTTTTTTTTGAGTATGTCCTCTCAAACCCAGGTAAGTAGAAGTTGCCGCAGTATTTAATTAAATATGCAGATGCAGCATTATTGTTTATCTTGCAGGTTGCAGATCAAAGCTGCAGCGGTGCGTCTTTGATGTCTGCGAGTCTGAGATGTTGAGCAGAGCCGTCCAGACGCATCTAAATTCTCTCTCTGTAATTATGGAAATGCAGTGTTTGTATTTATAGGCAGAAGCCACAGGCTGCTGGCCTCGACCTGACGCAGCTGGAAAGCATCTTGGTCTGCGCTATAATACCCGAGTCGGTGAGCTTGAGTGGGGGTTCAAGAATAGCACTCGTTTCTGGGGACTTTGCTTTCCAGTCGCTTCAAAGCAGCCCATAATAAGAGACCAGCGAAGAAGCCACATCCAACATGACAGGCAAACGACACCACACATGAGTATTTATATTCAAATTTAGTTTAATATTTACAATAAATACAGTACTTACAATATAAAATGTATGTACACAATCATATAAAAAAAGACCCAGGACTTCAAGACCCAGCGCATCCGGTGCTATTGAACAAGAGGACACTGAATGTGCCGCCGTTTGAGGAATGTTTTACAATAGGGAACATGCGTTAAAGGGATAGTTCACACAAGGAATTACATCTGTCATCATTCACTCACTCTTTTCATCTGTTAAACACTACAGAAGATATTTTGAAGAATGCTACTTGATGGTCTCCACTGACTTCCATAGGATAAAAAACAATTACTATGAAAGTCAATGGAGGTCATCTTCAGTTTTGGAGTGAGCCGTCCCTTTAACACTTACAAAAGTTGCATCTGTTGGTGTGATCCAATGCACCTAAATTACACACTTTTTTTGCTCAATGCATTTACTAAATGCAGCATTATTGTAAAGCGTTACCAACATTTGGAAAGAAATATGTAAAAAATTAGGGCTGGAATTGATAAATCATTGTATTGTTATTCATGAATCGATTGTTAGATTTTTAACTGCGTCCCGATTCTCTCTGGAATCAATTCTAAGATCCGTTTTTAACAGCAGATGGCGCTCTAGGTGAGTTTTTTGACAGCAGATGGCGCTCTAGGTGAGTTTATAACAGCATATGGGATCTAGACTAATGTTTAACAGCAATCTAGGCTAGTTTTGAACTGCAAACGGCGCTCTTGGCTAATTTTTAACAGAAATCTAGGCTAGTTTTGAGCAGCAGAAGGCGCTCTAGGCTAGTTTTTAACACCACAGTGTGCTCTAGGCTAGATTTTAACACCAGAGGGCGCTCTTTGCTAGTTTTTACCAGCAAACGCACTCTTGTCTAATTTTAACATAGGTTTAGGCTAATTTTGTGCAGCAGAGGGCGCTCTAGACTAGTTTTTAACACTAGAGGGCGCTCTAGGCTAGTTTTTAACCGGAGACGCAATAAAGGCTAATTTTTAACAGAGGTCTAGGTTAGTTCTGAGCAACAGATGGTGCTCTAGGCTAGTTATTTAACACCAGAGGATGTTCTGGGCTAGTTTGTAACAGCAGACGCACTATAGGCTAATTTTTTAACAGAGGTCTAGGCTAGTTTTAAGCAAAGGAATCAAGTCTAGACTAGTTTTTGAGAAGCAGACAGCACTCTAGGCTAGTTTTTAACACCTGAGAGCGCTCTAGGCTAGTTTTTATCAGCAGATGCACTGTAGGCTAATTTTTAAACTGAGGTCTAGGCTAGTTTTAAGCAACAAAAGGCACTCTAGGCTAGTTTTTTTTAACATCAGAGGGCAGTCTAGACTAGTGTTTAACACCAGACACTATATAGGCTAATTTTTAACAGAGGTTTAGGTTAGTTTTGAGCAGCAGAGGGCGCTCTAGGCTAGTTTTTAACACCAAATGGCGCTCTAGGCTAGTTTTTAACAGCAGACGCACTATAGGCTAATTTTAACAGAGGTCAAGGCTAGTTTTGAGCAGAAGAATGCACTCTAGGCTAGTTTTCAAACAGCAGATGACACTCGAGGCTAGTTTTTAACACCAGAGGCAGCTCTATGCTAGTTTTTAACAGCAGATGCACTATAGGTTAATCTTTAACAGAGGTCTAGGCTAGGTTTGAACAGTAGATGAAGCTCTAGACTAGTTTGTAAACACCAGACAGTACTCTAGGCTAGTTTTTAACACTAGAGGGCGCTCTAGGCTAGTTTTTAACAGCAGACGCACTATAGGTTAACTTTTAACAGAGGTCTAGGCTAGTTTATGTACAAATGTTTGTATTAATAATTGTTTTACATTTAAATTGTATGTGTAAAGCATACAGTGCCCTCTGGTGGTAAAAACTAAGCTTCAAATCGATTCAAAAGGAAATCGCAATGCATTCAGAAAATGTAGGAATCATTTCTTGATTCACAATAATGATTTTATCCTCCCAGCCCTGGTAAAAATGAAACACATTTGTTGCATGGCAGTTTCGAGCAAAACATTGTCAACATCGTTGTGCATTTTCCACTTTGGTTTGCTAGTCGTCAGGCTTTGCACTCGTTGTGGCATCGTTAATTCAACATAACAGTCTCCGGATTGGACACCGATTCGTAGGACCAGCCTTTCAGGATGCTTTTTAACCCCAAAAAAAGGCCTTAAAAAGAGCTCTGCGTGATCTATGTAGTACCAGCTACTTTGTTATAAAAGTATGATGATATATATATAATAAGAGTCATTAAATAAGGCAGTTGTGGTGGATCCGGCCCTCACAGGTGTCTCTTCATGTGCAGCGCCAGGTGGTCGGAGCGGGAGAAGGCACGTTCACACAGGTGGCACTGGAACGGCCGGTGGCCCGTGTGTTTACGGAAGTGACGCGTCAGCTCGTCAGAACGGGCGAACTTCCATCCGCATCCCTCCCAGTTGCAGTGGTATGGTTTTTCACCTGAAATGAAGGAAAAAGAGTGAAGGTGAGTTTCAGATTTGATTAAAAGACTGCAAAATGGAAATTTAATTAATGTATTAAAAATCATGCACACTAATCATTTAATTAATGCATTAAAAAGCATGCACACTATTAATTTAATTAATGCATTAAAAAGCATGCACACTATTAATTTAATTAATGCATTAAAAAGCATGCACTCTAATAATTTAATTAATGCATTAAAAAGCATGCACTCTAATAATTTAATTAATGCATTAAAAAGCATGCACTCTAATAATTTAATTAATGCATTAAAAAGCATGCACACTAATAATTTAATTAAAGCATTAAAAAGCATGCACTCTAATAAATAATGTATTAAAAAGCATGCACACTAATCATTTATTTAATGCATTAAAAAGCATGCACACTATTAATTTAATTATTGCAATAAAAAGCATGCACACTCGAGATTAAATCAATGCATTAACAAGCATGCACACTCTAAATTAAATTAATGCATTAAAAACATGCACACTTTAATGCACTAAAAAGCAAGCACACTAGAGATTAGATTAATGCATTAATAAGCATGCACACTAAATGAAATCATTGCTTTAAAAAGCACGCATACTGGAGATGGCATAAAATGCATTCTTACCGGTGTGAGTGCGGTGATGCGCTTTTAAATGGGAGCTTTTGGTGTACGTCTTCCCGCAGCCGGCGTATGTGCATGTATGTGTCGCCATGCGCTTCCTCGGCCAGGTGCGTCGCCCTCGCTTGGGTTTAGACTCCATTAGCTCTAACGGAGAGGACGGAGGAGTGAGAAGAGCCCGCTGCATGCTGGGTTGCATCCCCATTGCCTCCTCATACATGGCAAACTGGTGTGGCGCGGTGAACTGCATTGGCACCTGCGGATACGCCGGAGGAGAGTGATGGTAGCTCTGTGTATATGTCGTTTGACGGAGGTGGGAGTCGTCAGGACTCAGCGGAGGAGTCATATTCCCGGTGGCCTGCGGAGAAACTGCTAGTCTGGGCTGCTCGAAAGACATCATGCATGAAACGTTGCCTTCCTGCTTGATTTTTTGGCAGGTTTGTGGCACCATGCCTATCACCGGACCGTAGCCATCCATCGGCGGCTCCACTTTGATTTCAGGAAACTCCTGTCTGGGGAAGCCGCTGGAGTTGAGCAGGAATCTCCCCTGCACTGTGGTGTCATACGTGGAGTCTACATCAGATCGCAGGAGCTCTGCCATGAGGCCGTATGGTGGAGGTGCTTCTGGAGATGAGTAAACTGCAGTGGAGTACATGCCGCATGGCTCGGAGTGGGAGATGAACTCGGCTCCGGCCTCCAGAGGGCCCGTGGTGTTGGCCAGGATAAACTCCAGGTCTAAATAATTGCTGAGATCCTCGTCATCCTTACGGCCTCGACAAGTGTCTGTGTTCAGTGCCACGTTGAGCGGAGGGCAGCTGGCGTTCAGTGGTTTGTGCTCCTCAATCTTCCATCTCTGAAAAAACAAAACAAACAGAGAGCGGTTAGAACGAAATCTACTTTCGCAAGACTCATCCTGAAAGCGTTTCATGAGCGTTTCGCTGTCACCTCAACTCTTCAGACCAACATATGAAACTTTACATCAAACTGTTTTAAGACAGAGATCATGAAACCAGATTTTTTTTACAGATGTTATTTTGATTTATGTCCTTGCATACACTAGCAGTCAAAAGTTTGGGGTCAGTAGGATTTTTAAATGTTTTAAAATAAGCTTCTCTTGCTCACTAAGAATGCATTTATTTCAGCAAAAATACAGTAGAGATTATGAAATGCTATTGCACTATAAAATAACTGCTCAAAAGTAGTTTATAATTGAATTTAAACATTTATTGCAACGATTTTAATGATGAATTTTCAGCTTCATTACTTTAGTGTCACACGATCCTTCACTCTACTATTTATTATCATTATTAATATTTGATTATTAATGGTAATAGTAATAAAAGCAATAATGACTGGAGTATTAATTTCAATTAAATCTACATACAATACGTTATAAATAAATATTTAATAAATACGTATTTAACAATTTAACATTTACATTTAATAAATGGCGCCTTGATGAACAGAATAATTTTATTTAAATTAGTAAATAAAGAATAAAAAAAAAACTGACCCCAAACTTTTGACTTCTAGTGTATATATTTATTTATATTCCTCACATGTGTAAACACACCTGGCAGTAATGCTCTTTCTGATGCTGATACAAAATCAGATTACAGCAATAATTATTTAAAGTGGATCAAAAAAAATACTTTCATCATAGTTGTCCTTAAATTATTTAACACCCATTCTTGTCTTAAGACAGTTTTGAAAACCTTTTTGATTCACTTAATGATGACATTATGTATATATCATATATGTATATGAAAATTACATTATCTAAATAAATGTTTAAATAAGAACTAAAAACAACATCAATAGTTATTTTAAATTATTATGTTATTATTATAGTATAGTTGCATATACAAATTTGTATAGTGTTTTAGTAACCTACTATAGTGTATTATAATTTAGTGTGTTTTTATAAATACACACACACACACACACACACATATATATATATATATATATATATATATATATATATATATATATATATATATATATATATATACACACACACACACACACACAGTAAAAACTATAACATTACTTTCCCCCACTTTTCCGATTAAGTTTTGCACTAAACATTTTTATCAAACATGCATTTAAACAAGATATATTTACCTTATAAGCATAAAATACGTATAAAAACTAAATTTCTTAAGCGTGTTTTTGACTTATATCTCCAATATATTGTATTTTGCGCAAAAACAAGTAGGAAATGCAAGTGTTTTTCGAGTGTTAACCCAATTTTAACCACATCTGAGGTGAGGTTTCCCGCATTGCCCTGACTTCACCCTCGTTTAAAAGTGCATAAAAGTGTCAAATACTTACATCCTCCCAGAGCTTCTCCTTCTGGTTTGCAAACGTTGAAATCGAAGGCAAAAGGCAAGGTAAAGCCATGTCCACGCGTGCTCGGTGTGTATTCAGTATTAATGCACTTGCTCCTGAAGAGATGTCAAACTTCTGCGCGCTTTTTCCTCGAGTGAACTTCCACAGTCATGAACAAAGTTTGCCCGGCAGGAGCGCCTCCTACTTAATAAATACGGCTCCTAGACCAATTGTGTGCGCGGTGGAAACCGCGTTCAGAGTTCCCAAAGATAGTCTATATATAAGGCACAGTGCGCTCTCTCCAGCGCTTCTCGTTTCTCAGTGCGGGACAGTGCACGCTCCGCCGCTTTTAAACCAGAGCCGCTGATGCGCGCGCACACCTCCCTCGCGGAGGCGCGGCTGACAGGAGGCGTGTCACTATCATCTCTGTAGTAGAAACACACACAAAACTGTTACCAAGGCGTTTCAAAGAAAAGCTCGAATTGATCCAAGTGTAATTCCAGCGCCCGACAGCCTACATTCACCCGTGCGTAATTTAGTCTCCAAATATACGCGCTTTCCAATGACTACACAATAAGGTTACATTTAGACTTTAGAAGTCAAATAAAGTTGTTTTTACTCGCTGATATGGCAATTTTCTGTACAATAGATTAGTAGGTGATCCAAATGTCATGTTTTCCCTGTCATTATATATAAATGCGCGTGCCTATATATAAACCTGGAACTCTGTACTGTGTATAAAAGGTGAAGGAGGCAAATGTGTTGTAAAGAAAGCCGTTTTATGCAGGGTTTGAGGTTAAATGAAATGACTACATAGTCTTGAGGACAGACAGGCTATTGTGTTTGTTTTGTAGTTCTCCACACCTGTGGTTTCTCTGCTAAAACACCTAAGACAGAGAGGGAGAGAGAGAACCACACACACACACACACCTCAATGAGCAAAAATAATGGAGAAATGTGAACTAATTAGATATTTTATAATCATGTTTGCGTAGAGATTAGTACTTTAAAAAAACATTAGGTAGCCTAAGTCTAAGTGGCCTTGCAAAAAAAAAAAAAAAAAAAAAAAATATATATATATATATATATATATATATATATATATATATATATATAATTAAAAAGATCTATAATAAAAGTAAACATATTATATATAAAATATTATAAAATATCTATATACATTTAATATATATATATATATATATATATATATGGTATGACACATTTTGACCCGTTTATGACACATTAACTAACATTAAAACTGATGTTTTATCAATAATTAGTTCTTTGTTTGGGATTTTATTTGCGCTTTTAAAAGTGTTTAAGCGTTTTACAAATTTTCTTTAAACAAAACAACAACAAACGAGCATAAATGCAATAAAAACAGTAAATTTCACGTCAGTTTCAGACGATATTTTCTAACAAACAAAAAAGGAGAAGAAAGATTTCTGCCTTTCATCTCAGACACTGAGACTGCCCCAGCATGACAGCTGGATTTTTGTTTTGTTGTGTTTTTTGGCTGTGTTTACTGTAGTAAAGGCTTTCAGCGAGACTTCTGTGTTCAGAAGCGTGATTAATGAGAAAGGCATTGTGTGCGCGCTCAAAGGCGCATTATCATGATGATTGTGCGCGCGCAGCGGGTTTGTCTAAACGCGGACAGCAGGCGCCAGTCTCACCTGAGCCCAGGACTCTCTCCTCTCACATCTGAGCCTCGCTCCTCGCCGCATTCAGGTGTAAATGCGGGGGGATTAAATGGCTGGAATGCTGATGCTTGGTGGGAATTATTGGCTTTGCTTCAGCGGCCATTAGTTTTGGTTAATGATGTCCCGAGGACGAGACGCGTCAGATTGTTTACAGCACGTGAGGCCGCCATTCAACACACTGACAGCCATAGAAAAACTCGACAGGTCACTTAGTTTACATCTCAAAAATACGTTCTTAGGTTTCACTCGAGCACGTTTGTTTCCATTTGGTGCTCTATAGTGGTACTTTTGATGTTTATAGTCATTATTGGAAAGTTATATGATGAAATACTGTAGTAATTTACAGTTTTTTAACCGTTTGTTTGTAAAATACCTGCATTCATCGGCTGTGGTGATTTTAAGTTGCCATGGTAACACAGCAACTGTTGTAATTTAGTATAAACAAATGACCCAATACTGTAGTTTTACTACAACTACACGATTCTAGAAAACACTTATATGTACTACAGTATTTATTACATAACTATAGTTAAACTACAGTATGCTGGAACATTCATTAACAAAGAGTTGTAAATACTAGTATAATAGTACACAGTATAGCTTAAAAACACTACAGTATTTGCTGTAAATTACTATAGTAGTTTTAATGTGGGTATTAATGGGTATTGTTCATCATAGCCGATTCAAAATCTCGGTAATATTTGTAAAAATACAACAGTAAGGCCTTATGATAGGTTTTTTAATCATAAAATGTTGTTTGTTTACGCATTGTGCTTCTCATCTGTGAAAGTACCATGCTTTTTATATTCACCATGGCATATTGTTAACCAGTTGGTTAATTTGGTTAACAATATATCATAGTGAATATAAAAAAAACATGGTACTATTGCATATTTATGTGCTGTGATGTTTAAATTGTGTAACATAATGCCATTGTTCAATCTGATAGTTTGTTAAACCTTACAAAAACATAGTAATACATGATCCCTTTTGAAATTGAATAATGACCTGGTTATTTTCATATTTTAATGATGCATAGTATATGTATTTTTTTTGGCAACTTGACATGTAGAGTGCATGTGTTTTGATACCGAAAGTTATATATATCACACAAAAACACTATAGTATTTGCTATAAATCACTATAGTACTTTTAATGTGGGGATTAATGGGTATTGTTTATGATAGAGGATTCAAAATCATGGTTATATATATATATATATATATATATATGTATATATATATATATATATATATATATATATATATATAATACAACAATAAGGCCTTATAATATCAACACTTAAAAGGCTAAATGTTTACTGTAAAATGTCATTTATGCACTATGATTCCCATCTGCAATGGTGTTTTTTTTTATATTCACCGTGGTATACTGTAAATATAGTAAATATTAAAAAAAGAAATGGTACTATTGCATATTTAAGTGCTAAATGTGTGCATGGTGTAACATAATGCAATTGTTCGATGTAATAGTTTGTAAAACCTTATAAAAACATGGTAATACATGATAACTTTTGAACAGACCCGAAATAAGGCATTTATTTGTACAGAAATAATGATATTTTCAGGGTACATATACAAAAATGCATATTAAAACGTTACGAAAAACTTTATTTGCTGTTTTTGTTAACGTATTTACATTTTTTGGCAACTTAACATGTACAGTACAGGGGTTTGGGAGCTGAACATTATATATATCACCCAAAAACACTATAGTATTTGCTATAAATCACTATAGTATTTTTAATGTGGGGATTAATGGGTATTGTTTATGATAGCGGATTCAAAATCACTAATATATATCAAATGTACAACAATAAGGCCTTATGATATCAACACTTTATGAAGGCTTAATGTTTATTTTTACAGTAAAATGTCATTCATGCGCTGTGATTCCCATCTGCAATGGTGTTTTTTATATTCACCATGGTATATTGTTAATATCATAGTAAATATTAAACAAAGACATGGTACTATTACATTATTATGTGCTGTGATGTTTAAATAGTGTAAAATAATGCAATTATTCAATGTGATAGTCTAAAACCTTTTAAAAACTTGGTAATATATGATAACCTTTAAAATAGATCCAAATTAAAGCATTTATTTTTTACAGATACAATGATATTTTGAGGGTACATATACAAAAATGCATATTATTAAGTAAACGTGGCATTGTGTAAACAAAAAAGTTATTATTCCATAGTTATTTTCAGTGTTTGGCAACTTAACATATACAGTACCGGGGTTTGGGTGCTAAACATATATCACTCAAAAACACTATATTATTTGCTATAAATCACTATAGTATTTTAATGTGGGGATTAACGGGTATTGTTTTTGGTAGGGGATTCAAAATTATGGTAATACATGTCAAAAATACAACAACAAGGCCTTATAATATCAACATTTAAAAGGCTAAATGTTTTTTTTTTACAGTAAAATGTCATTTATGCACTATGATTTCCATCTGCAATGGTGTTTTTTTATATTCACCATGGTATATTATTAATATCATAGTGAATATTAAAAAAAACATGGTGCTATTTGTGTGATATGATGTTTAAATAGTGTAACATAATGCCATTGTCCAAAGTAATAGTCTGTTAAGTCTTACAAAAACATTTTAATACATGACAACTTTTGAAATAGACCCATATTAAAGCATTTCTTTCTACAGATACAATGGTATTGTTAGAGTACGTATACAAAATGCATATTATCAAGTAAACATGGCATTGTGTAAACAAAAAAGTAATTATTCCATAGTTATTTTCCATTTTTGTTGATTCATATGCAGTTTTTTTTGGCAACTTAACATGTGCAGTATATGGGTTTTGGTGCCAAAAATGATATATATCACTCAAAAACACTGTAGTATTTGCTATAAATCACTATAGAACTTTTAATGTGGTGATTAACAGGTATAATTTATGATAGCGGAATTAAAATCACTGTAATATATATATATATATATATATATATATATATATATATATATATATATATATATATATATATATATATATATATATATATATATATATATATATATATATATACACACACACACACACACACACACACACAACAATAAATGTTTATAACATCAACACTAAAAAGCTAAATTTATTTTTACTGTAAAATGTCATTTATGCACTGATTCCCATCTGCACTGGTATTTTTTATATTCATAATGGTATATTGTTAATATCATAGTGAATATTAAAACAAACATGACATTAGTACATAAGTATTTATGTGCTGTATGTTTACATGGAGTAACATAATGCCATTGTTCAATGAGATGAGAGTCTGTAAAGCCTTACAAAAACATGGTAATACTTGATAACTTTTGGAATGGACCCACATTAAAGCATTTCTTTTTACAGATACATACATTTCAGGGTACATATCCAAAAACGCAAGTTAACATGGCGTTATGTAAAAAAAAGAAGAAGTAATTATTCCATAGTTATTTTGCAGTTTTTTTTATGCATATGCATTCTTTTGGCAACTTAACCTGCAGTTTGGGTTTGGCTGTCAAACATTATATATATATATATACAGTGACACAGTTAAAGTCAGAATTATTAGCCCCCCCTTTGATTTTTG